GAGATGGAAAAGTGATAAAGCCAAAGATGGTTATGTTAAAGAGAGTATACTCAACAGATTGTCAGTATCTAAGAATTTAGGATTGTAATTTATATTGTTTGTCCCCCCTTTTTCTTTATGTCCCTTTCTTTATCAATCGAAGCTTTCTGTGCTGTCGGGGCGAGCTGATAACCAAAAACTGTGTTGAGTTTTTACTTTGTAAATGCTTTATGTTCGTTTGAAGTATTGAATAAGAACATAAATGTATTTATAAAGGTTACTCGGGAACACGTGTATTTGTTTACTTTTAACACGTGTGTTTAAATCAAAACATGTTTATGTTTAATTTGATTGGACCATCAGTAAGTTATTACCGGTTTAAGTTATATCAATCATGATAACTTCATGCTAGAATTTTAGCGCTAAAATTATAATAAGATATCTAGAATTGTCATTCGAGGTTCGCCTATCCGACAGAAAGGTTCGTTTTCCCACCCACCCACCCCTTTTATTAAGACTTCATAGGAATGTGAATCAGTATGTTATGTAGAAAATAGTTGATAAAATACATGTATGTAAATCGAAATGATTTTTTCTTCAACTTATAGAACATTTTTCTATTGTAGATTGTGTTTATATGTGATGGCAGCGGTCGATGACAGCAAATTGGACATTTGTTTATTGTTTATAATAAAAATAAGCTTTCTGTGCTGTCGGGGCGAGCTGATAACCAAAAACTGTGTTGAGTTTTTACTTTGTAAATGCTTTATGTTCGTTTGAAGTATTGAATAAGAACATAAATTCCCAGGTTTATTGTCACAATCTGTATTAAATACTATACACACACAACGCGTACAGGGACCGTCTCAAAGAATGAATTATATAACTGCGTTATCATTATACTTGATATTTAATAAACATTCGCATCATTAAAACACATGCTTTGTCAAAAGGCAAATAAGTTCTAACATATAAATGATTTTTTGACTGCAACCTAGTCTTTATTTTTTTTACTATCCGATCTACAAATGAACTTTCGATTGTTGAACTATACAATGTCACGTGATAGCCTATCCATAGAGAGACGGTATCCTAGGAAAAGTTTTATATATCCGTATTCTCATTTTTTTTCTATGAAAAAGTTCCCTTTAAAGTCTGTGATATCAATTTTCCTAGGAAAACAAGTCAGTTTAATTATTAAAAAAAAAACACCCATATTTTAATAAAATAGTGAAACATTAATAACTGTTAAACAATTTAAAAACACATAAGAATTAGATATTCCCCATTGTTTACATGTAAATTATTTCTTTCATTACAAAGTTTCCCATAAAAATAAAAGACATGGACGTTTTTACCTAGGAATATTAATGCCCTGGACATGAATTCCTAGGAAAATTAGTCTGGGCACATACATTTCAATAAAAGATTAATGCACAACTGTAAAACAACATTAAAACAAAAGAATTAAAAATTCCATTGTTTACATGTAAATGATTTCATTTATTACAGATTATCCTACTAAAATGAAAGAACCTTAGTGAGTGCGCTCACATACTCCACGTCCCCACATTGTCATTGGAGGAATAAAATAAGTGTAAGAAAAAAAAATTGTATCAAAAAAAAAAATTGAATCATAATTTCCTGTCAATATGCACATCTACGTAGTATGTCCTTATTATCTGAAAAGGTTTCATGAAATTCTGTTGTGTGGTTTGAGAGGAGTTGCGATGACAAACTGTTGCAGTAGTTCATAAAAGTAAATAAGTTCAAAGGGGCGTAACTCCTAGAAAAAGAATTGAATCGTAATTTCCTGTCGATATGCACAACTACATAGTATGTCCTTATTATCTAAAAAGGTTTCGAGAAATTCTGTTGTGTGGTTTGAGAGGAGTTGCGATGACAAAAGGTTGCAGTAGTATATTGGGCAAATAAGGTCAAAGGGGCGTAACTCCTGAAAAAAAAATTTAATCGTAATTTCCTGTCGATATGCACATCTACGTAGTATGTCCTTATTATCTGAAAAGGTTTCATGAAATTCTGTTGTGTGGTTTGAGAGGAGTTGCGATGACAAACTGTTGCAGTAGTACATTAAAGTAAATAAGTTCAAAGGGGCGTAACTCCTAGAAAAAGAATTGAATCATAATTTCCTGTCGATATGCACAACTACATAGTATGTCCTTATTATCTAAAAAGGTTTCGTGAAATTCTGTTGTGTGGTTTGAGAGGAGTTGCGATGACAAAAGGTTGCAGTAGTATATTGGGCAAATAAGTTCAAAGGGGCGTAACTCCTGAAAAAAAATTTAATCGTAATTTCCTGTCGATATGCACATCTACGTAGTATGTCCTTATTATCTGAAAAGGTTTCATGAAATTCTGTTGTGTGGTTTGAGAGGAGTTGCGATGACAAACTGTTGCAGTAGTACATTAAAGTAAATAAGTTCAAAGGGGCGGAACTCCTAAAAAAAGAACTGAATCATAATTTCCTGTCGATATGCACAACTACATAGTATGTCCTTATTATCTAAAAAGGTTTCGTGAAATTCTGTTGTGTGGTTTGAGAGGAGTTGCGATGACAAAAGGTTGCAGTAGTATATTGGGCAAATAAGTTCAAAGGGGCGTAACTCCTGGAAAAAAGAACTGAATCGTAATTTCCTGTCGATATGCACATCTACATAGTATGTCCTTATTATCTGAAAAGGTTTCATGAAATTCTGTTGTGTGGTTTGAGAGGAGTTGCGATGACAAAAGGTTGCAGTAGTATATTGGGCAAATAAGTTCAAAGGGGCGTAACTCCTGGAAAAAAAATTGAATCGTAATTTCCTGTCGATATGCACAACTACATAGTATGTCCTTATTATCTAAAGAGATTTCGTGAAATTCTGTTGTGTGGTTTGAGAGGAGTTGCGATGACAAGAAACAGGACTGACGGACTGACGGACAGACGGACGAACAGACAGACTGACGGACAGACGGACAGACGGACGGACGTGTCAAAAACATTATACCCTCCGCAACTCGTTGCGTGGGGTATAATAAAGGACATGGACGTTTTTACCTAGGAATATTAATGACCTGGACATGAATTCCTAGGAAAATTAGTCTGGGCACATAAATTTTATTAAAAGATTAATGCACAACTGTTCAACAACATTAAAACATAAGAATTAAAAATTCCATTGTTTACATGTAAATGATTTCTTTTATTCAACATTTGCCTAGTCAAATAAAGGACATGGACATTTTTTTTACCTAGGAATATTGATGACATGGACATAAATTCCTAGAAAAATTAGTCTGGCCAGGGGACATAAATTACTGACATTGGACTAAATATACTAGTAAATTTTGTAACCATGGAATTTTTAGACTAGTAATATTTGTCCGCCCGGACACTTTTTACCAGGACTAATTTACCTCTTACACGTACACCTCACAAATATACATTGTCAATTTTTATTTCCTTTTATTTTTTATGGAAAGAAAGCTATAATGGTGCTATATTTCTGTGTGACCAAGCATAATATCATACGCTTGATCAGACACCTTTTCACAGTAGGAGCATTTGAACATTGTACTTGATTATTTCGATATCTACGAACGATAAAACATATTACTCTCAAGATAAATAGTAAATGAAACATTTAGGTTGTATTTTCTGTTAAAAAACACACCTGTTTTACACACTTTGTGTACGTACGTCTCAATCCAGCATGTCTGAGCTCACATACAGATTGTTTACATCACGAAATATTTACTGTATGAAATCCATTTCGGTACACTAACATGAAGATTTCTGAATACAAATGAACGATGCCTTTTATTAAATGTACGTGTTAATATGTAGCACTATCAAACTGGTTTAATACATTGTTTCGTGCTTTGAAAAAAGTACTTTATTTGAACCTTTTCATTGTTTTTTTTAACATAAATGCACTGACATATTACATTTAAGCCATGGGAAATTTGATTTTTTTCACTCGATAAAACAAGGACGCACTCGAAAAAACACGGACTGCACTCGAAAAAACACGGACATATCAAAATGAATTTACTCTTCAAAATGTCCTTTTCAATGCAAAAACAAGATTTTTTTTTTGAGAAGTGTCTGTATATCTAAGTATATATAGATTCCATGTAAGCATTTCCGTTGATATTTGCATTGGTATATGTAATCTATATTTTAGAATAAGGCATTGTAAGGCTAAATTAAACGTTTTTAAAACTAAATAATGTAGCTAGGGTTGATAATATTTTTTTTATCACAAATACTAATTTACCTTCTGTGATCTTGTATACTTAAAGGTTCTATAGCACCTTTTTCCCCCCATCTTATCAGAAAGGAAGTCTGTTTGTTTACATTTTTTATAATATTCACTCGAAAAAACGTGGTCACACTCGAAAAAAAAACACGATCCCAGCCGTACACTATACCCACTGTGATATCCTTGAAAATAGCCTATCCGTGAATAGTATTGCATAATCTACATTTGGTTTAGGGAGGGGCAACTATGTAACAAAAGGAAAAAGGGGGAAAGAATGATCATGTATCATTAAATTATGCTGGTTTCTAAGTAGTTGCTTCCGGCGAATGATACCCTTGGGGAAATATTCCAACGTTCCGATTAGCTAGAAAGAATTCCGCTATTATATTGAATTTCAAGGTTGTTCAACTCTATAGCTTGTTTGGTATAGGTGGCGCAGCGATCTGTTTACAAACATATTGTTGCTAATTAAACATATATTTTGTTGTTATTCGATCATGGGAATCAATTCATGTAAATCCAAATATAAAATTAAAGAAAAGAGAATCGACCAAATTCCCTATAACGGTAAGTTAATTATAATACAATATTATAATATAATATGCATTTAAATATTCAGCTTAGGTTTTGTGTTTATTGATTTGTACGTCTTGATCGTGTATTTCATTATAACACACAAAGGGCAATAACTGCATATACACATCAATATAATATACGTATCTGTTTTAAATAAAATTATTACAAATTTATTTCTAGATTTACAACGTAAACAGCTGACAAGAAGTGAAAAGTATGATTTTTTTCTGGCAATTAGAGACCAACCTGAGGATGAAGTTTTTCAGAAAATGCACACAAATCCATGGATGTTTTCTTGCATGTTTTGGTTCGGTAATTATTTCTTTGATAAAGTTGATACATGTGTATGTGTGTAAAATATGTATAACTATTGTTCACATCTTGTCGTATCAATGACTATCTGACTACGTAAACTGAGTGGCGACCGGTGCAAACCACAGTTGGACAAACACATTTTTTATCCACTTAATTCAGGCATAGGGTCTCCACTTATTTTACCATTGGTGACCATAGGACATGAAGATTTATTCAAACTATTGCTATCAAACAAATTTTTTTAAACATGTATACCAATCCACATGTACTAATTTCCCTGATATTTTTTACGATTGTCATGATTGTAGAGATCTTTTCTTGAAGAAAATACGATATTTTTGCTCATCTACCTTTTGATTTTAATGATTTTGTCTCATTGGCAATTAATTGTACCCTGCGGGGGACATGGTCCGTCCGGTCTTGTTAGAGCTCTCACAGGTACAATTCTTGCCAGATTTTCATAAAATTTATACTATAGGTTAATATCAGCAATATCTCGGACAAGTTGTATAATGGTGGCCGATCGACTTTTTTAAAAGAGTTATGCCCCTTGGAAATATTAAATTTATGGATAATGGCCTCGTTAGCGCTCTCACGAGTACAATTCTTGCCAGATTTTTATAAAATTTATACTATAGGTAAATATCAGCAATATCTCGGACAAGTTCTATAATGGTGGCCGATCGACTTTTTTAAAAAGAGTTATGCCCCTTGGAAATATTAAATTTATGGAAAATGGCCTCGTTAGCGCTCTCACGGGTACACTAATGCCAGATTTTTATAAAACTTATACTATAGGTTAATATCAGCAATATATCGGACAAGTTCTATAATGGTAGACGATCGACTTTTTTTAAAAGAGTTATGCCCCGTGGAAATATTTAATTTATGGAAAATGGCCTCGTTAGCACTCTCACGGGTACAATTCTTGCCAGATTTTTATAAAACTTGTACTATAGGTTAATATCAGCAATATCTCGGACAAGTTCTATAATGGTGGACGATCGACTTTTTTAAAAGAGTTATGCCCCTTGAAAATATAAAATATGTGCAACGCGGGGGACATTGGAACTCTGTTCTTTTATTATTTATGTTTGGAATTAACCTTTTTTTTTAATTCAGGTTGTTTGGGATTTATATTTAAAAATGACATCAAACATCAATGAAATAGCATGTCTTATATAAATGTGGTTGGCATTATCAAGATACTCTATTATAATCGTTTCACGTCTATGGAGAATAACATTTGAACTCCAATTGCAGTCTAAAAGTATGGTCACAATAGCCATTAAATCAAATTTGGTTTGAATGGTCTATAGTTATTGTTCACATCTTTTGGTCAATTGGTACTAGTTATCGTCTCACTGACAATCATGCCACATCCCCATTTTATATTTAACCATTTTATATGGTTGATCCTATAATCTTCGACCGCAAATTTCTTGGAACGTATTGTGTGCAATCGGCTTCATATATGTACAAATCTGGTTAAAATTAATCGATACTTTTACCTCCGCAATCAAATAAAAGATAAAAACTACACACAGAAAACTAGAATTGGAACAAAACTAACCCCGCTAAAAACCGGGGTGAACTCAGATTATCCATCGGGGGAAACTGTTTCTTTTCCACTAGTGGTACGACTCATGTCAAGTAAATATTCAGTGATCATATTATAATGCCATTTTTATGTTGTATTCTCTTAAATAAAATCAGCTGGACATTCATTCCTTGGTGTTCGATTTACGTCCAGTGGGGATTATCTCATGTATTTTCAGGACGAGAACAGATTAAAGATAGGAATCAATGAGATTGGTTCTGTAAATAAGTCGTACAGGATGAGGGGCTGGAAATGTGGACTGACCCTTCTTGCAAAAGAGGAATACGGGGTAGGGATAGAAAGTTTCTTGCAATAGATAACCTATGGAACATTCGAAAGTTTGTTGAAAGGGTATTAACACGTGCATCGAATTAAACATTTCAATTCCGACCGGATGTGGCTTCGTATTTATACTTCCTGCACGTTCCATTCTATTGCACAAAAGATGTGCAGGTGATCATAATTTCATTACCCGCGCAATCCTTGGTGTTCAACAGATTTGATAATAGAAAAACAAACGATATGGGGTATCCATCCATGACACAAAATCAGTACATGCACAGCAAAAAAAAAAAAAAAAAAAAAAAAAAAAACACACACACAAAAAGCAAAGGAACAGCGCTTTTATTGCTGTTCCGTGTTTATTTATGGTACCGAGTTTTGAAGAATCAAATTGGGGTAGACCAGTTGTCAGTCAGAGTTCTGAAATTGGTAGCTTATTTTGTTTCCATTGAATAAGAGTAATAGCTGACGATACTGTGGACACATGCAGTCGCCTTTGTATTCCTTATTCAATGTTCATAAGCTGACATATTTGTGTCTTGTCATGCTGCGCTCAACATAGTCTTTTTCTACTTATCAAGATAATTTGTTCTTATAAGATATATATCAACACACAAAAGTTAAAATTTTTATTAAAATTTTCTTTGTTATTCATAGAATTTGCTTAAAAATTTCAGAAACATTTAAAGAGGGAGGACATGATGGATGCTCAAAGCAAAGAGAATGTTCTTGTTCGAGCGATCTGGAACTTGCATGGAATCAAAATATCGCATTTAAGGAAATGAATGAAAGGTTGGAACTAAGTATTCGTTATGGAAAGTGTCCACATGTTTTGATGCAGCTTTGTGGCATAGCTGTGAATTATGATCAAGATTTTTTAACTGCAGAACTGTCTAAATATACTCAACAGTTGGAGAATAGCAATCCTTTGCGCAATGCCATGAAGTGCACAGCTGGTTTTTATTGGATTCATTTGGCAGTATTATTTAGAAAAGAAAAACTAATACAATATTGTTTTGAAAGTCCGTATATAAAAATTCCGAATCATCTTTTGATCTCTTTGAAACACAAAATTTCACCAGTTTTATTAGCCGTCGTACATCAACTACCCAATTTAGCGAAATCTATAGCATCGTTTAATCCAAGTTTAATATGGTCTGCTGCTGAAAACATCGACGTCATCGGCACAAATACTGAAGATAATATCAAAATGAATGGTTTAACATGGACGACGAAACCTAAGCATTATGACCACTTAATAAATTTGTTCGATAATGAACACAATATCAACCATGTCAACATCAATGCCATAACATGGGCGATGAAACATAAGCATTATGACACCTTAATTGATTTGTTGAACCTAGTTGACAATTATCATTTGGTGGAAGGAGATGTTTCGACAATCTGGTTTCATGATATCAAAAATGCAATTTTATGTGGCAATGACGATGATATTTACTCACTTGCACGTGTGAAGGGTGTGGAGTTTTTCAAATACCTCGATCTGATAGGGTTCTTGCTGAAATCAGGTACGTTAAATTGACAATATAGAAGCAATTGTTCAATACTGGAACTTTTAAAAGATCTTTGTGATTTCCCCTGCCGCCAAAGAGTTGTCGTTGTTTACCCTCCGTTTGGATGCCTTTCTTGTTGTTTTATACATTTTCAACGTAGACATATCGAGTTATATTGTTAAAGCTATTTTATTTGACACCGCGCGTGATGCATGCATAGAAAGGGACGCTGAACCTGTAGACGCACCTGTTTTCATTTCTTTGTCATATTTGTGAGTTCATGTGATTCCCTGAGTTTTTTGTTTGGAACCTTGATTTGTCTTCTTGAACGATTTATGAGATTTAAACATCTGTAAAGTTCCCAACTTACTTTATTTACAGATTGTAAATGCAAAAACACATCTATTTGACGTGGCTCGATCTGTATTTATACATCATCCATTTGGCGTGGCTCTGTACTTATACATCCCGCCATTGTGTTATTGTGCTATGGTAAATTTTGTATTCTTGTTTTTCATTTTTGCTAATGTGCTTTGTGTATATGCCTTTTTGTGTTTCTTTGTTACATATGACGTGGCTCTGTACTTATACATCCCATCTTTGTGTTATTGTGCTCTGGTAAATTCTTGTATTCGTGTCTTTCATTTTTACTAATGTGCTTTGTCTATATGACTTTTTGTGTTTCTTTGTTAAACATTTCTTTGTTTTTATGGTGATAAAGGTTATAACACAATGTGGACTGCTGTGCCCCAATTTGACATTTTTACCTATTATATACATTGTAAATATAAGAAGATGTGGTATAAATGCCAATGATGCATACAACTCTCCATCCAAGTCACGATCTGTAAAATTAAACTATCATAGGTCAAAGTACGGCCTTCAACACGGAGCCTTTGGCTCACATCGAACAGCAAGCTATGCTGAAGACATGATGGATGCTCAAAGCAAAGGGAATATTCTTGTTCGTGCGATCTGTCTGTTTGTTTTGTTCACACATTGTTGTCAATATAATGGAATTTTATGCGACTGTCATACTAGTGAGAGGTTAAGCTAGTTATAAAACCAGGTTTAATCCACCACTTTTTACACTAGAAATGCCTGTACCAATCAGGAAAATGACAGTTGTTATCCATTCGTTTGATGTGTTTGAGCTTTTGATTTTGCTATTTGATTAGGGACTTTCCGTTTCGAATTTTCTTCGGCGTTCGGTATTTTTGTGATTTCACTTTCTATTCTGCTATCGGCCATTTTATCAACCAAAACCTGTTAATGCACAATTGCGGGCCTACTTTATTTCGATTTGCATCATGATGGCATTAAAGTAATTTAAAATCAAACTACACATTTAAAATTTGTAGTTATCTTTCAAATTTGTAATTATCTATTGTTGGAAAAATTATTGAAGTACATATATGTTTAAGCTTTTGATTGACTGACAATAATCGAGAGGTAATCTAAAATTCAAGTAAATACACTGACAAATTAGTAGTTCAAGTTTACGCCATGGTTTAGTGAATAATAGTTAGATTACCATGAAGAGGAACATTGAGGGGGATATAAAATTTGTTTAGTGTTAAAGGAAAATATTCAATGAATCGATTCATATAAGGTAGGGATTTTTTGCATCGTTTTAAAGTTAACAAAAAGTGTCCGAAGCGGAGACGGTCGTGACCTAAAAAAAATTTCGTTCCACCTTCTTCTATAACATAATGGATAGTCGACCTTCCCATGAATAGAAACACATACCTGTGTTCAAAATGTACTAAAATTTGACAAAAAGAAGATTTTCAGGTCAAAATTTTGAGTATTTTGTATATACATGTACAATGTAATAGACGAAATAGCATATGTTCATTGCCATGGCCGAAATGGACATCGTCTTAACCTTTGAAAGTCGTCAGTGATCTAACGAATAGCCAATGAACATGTCGTTATATCGATCGTCTCATGATGCTGGATAACCCAATCAAATTTACGCAGTTTTCGTATCTCCTTTTCGTATCACATTCTATGTGGTGTGATATGAGAAATATCTCTGCATGCAAAATAGATAACAAGCCACACCCAATAAGGAAGATATGTTTCAAGTACTTCATGGATGTAGCATAGAAATGTAATGATAAGAATTGAATGCCTATTTTTGTAAATTTTAATAGGTTTATTAATGCACGTTTTTAGTATTAAGCGCTTCTTCATAAAAAATGTGCTTCGGTTAACGCTTTTACATTCAAATTGAATTACAAAACAAAGCATTCAATTCATAAGTATTTAAACATAAATTTTACTTGATGAGGGACGGAAGTTTATGCTTTATTTCTTACACTTACAATAATAGGTATTTATTTATCTATAATCGAGCTATATTTCTATGGAACTTTGGTTTTAATTGCAGGAAGGAGTAAAGAGCTGAGAATCGTTCTGGAGAAAACAGATTTTTGTGCCCAATCCATCAATAAAACAACGAAGGAACGTAGGTTTTTAATGGCTGAAATTGTAGCCGCTGCTGCATTTGAAGGTGACGTCACTAACCTTTCTCTTCTGATCGAATTCGGCTTTGAAATTAACGCAAAATATTTGGGAATTAGCTTGCTTTCTTGGGTTGAGAGTTTAAACATGCACGAAATTTCAGAGGTATTGTCAGAGGCAGGGGTATCCAACAAAAAGTTTAAGATGAAAAAAGATTCTATGATAGATTTAGCAGTATGCTTCGTTGGACACCCATGGACCGATATGATTGATAAGGTTCGTGTGGTACATCTTTTGTATAAAAACGGACACGTGATATTTGATTCCGATACCAGTCTGACTAACACGTGGAAAAATGGAGACGACCGCCTTATGAAATACTTCCTTCTACGAGGAGAAAACCCGCAAGGAACTTTCGATTCCCTTCAACATGGCTATTATGCAGCCAGAAGAGGTTGCCGCTTATTTTTTTATTTGGTTGTGACATCGAATTCAGTTTTGTCAGTTAAGCATTGGTTGATAACTTGCAGGCTTTTAAACTATTACGAAGTTTTGGAAATACTTCCTGACATTATGGACCTTTCATCTATCCAAGATATTGTTACAAACGGGGCAATGGAGTGGTTAGAAATTGAAAAGATTCCATATACTTCATCTGAAAAACATATACAATGGTATCGACATGTTAGGTCATTGCAAAAAATATGCAGGAGAGTCTTGTGTTCACATTATAAAGGATTCAAATATATCAGATTTCTAAAATATAACGAAAAATCTATTCCGTCCTCCATTTTATCATTTTTGAAGAAAGACGATGTTCTACAAAAATTTCTCAGTGATTCACAACGTGACGAATATGATGAATCAGTACATGGAGTAGATGAATATTTCCTATAAAACACATAAATGAATTAACTAATGAATTTAGCTTTTTTCTATCGCCGATTAACCGCGTTAAACATTGTTCCAAGAAATATGAAGTTGTATTCTACCGTTGTCGGCTATGGTGTAAAATAGATATACAATATGTACTGTTGTATATATCTACATTGGGTAGATAATATTCCGTAGTGGATGCCCTGTGTTGTGCAATATCAAGGAACTAGATCTCCATATTTTCCTGGTTCTATGTCATATGATAAATCAACGTAAAAAGTTTTTTTATCATTAAGAGAATTTTCTCAAGGGGAATTTCAAAAAAGTTAACTAGAAGTCTGTATCAATCTGGCATGTGACACGCTGGACCTGAACTTATTTCATACTCGACACAATTCCAGATTTCTTGACGAGATAGACTAAGTGTGTGGTCAATAGATGCTCATTTAACCTTGGTCAATTGATTTCATTTTAAGGATCAGCTTTAAGAAATAAGTTGTCATGGTTATGTTTTAAGTTGCATGTACTTTTTAATACAGGGATTTTCGTTTATGGGTTTTTTAAACGTGAACCTGTCTGTCTGGTAAGAGTTACCGGCAGAATACATACCGGAGAGTCCAGTGTTACCTCTTTAAAAAAGGAGTCAAATATATTCGATTTCTAAAATACATGGACAAATCTATTTCGTTCTTTGTTTTATTATTTTTGAAGAAAAGCTATGTTCATCAGTAAAGAGTTTCACTTCACGAGGAATATGATAAATTGAAACATGTTGTGAATAACCCTTTTCTTTATAACAAGAGTTTGGTTTTTTATGTCGCCAGTGATTCGTGATGAATATTTCTGAAGACCAGACGAAGGTATATTATTCCGATGGCGTAAATTCTAGGATAAATCTAGATTATCGATATTTTGTAGTTATTAATGCCTTATGGAAGGAAATATGCAGGCAGCTACATTTGTAGCTATCTTCCTATATCGGTCCAAATATTCAGTTCATGATTCATTGGTTTTCTCTCAGAAGGGGAATGCCAGAAACTAACTTCTTCTACATGTAACTGACGCTGATCCTGACTTGAAGACTTGTAGAGTAGAACTGTTCTAGAACTGTTTAAAACAGTTCTTTGACAGATTTTTCTGACAGTTCTTATAGAGAGGTTTTCAACTGATTTTATAGTTTGTTTTTATGTTGTATTGTTACACCGCTGTCGAAGGTTATGGAGAGGCTTTGGCAAACATGTTCAACCCCGCCACATTCTGTATGTGCCTGTCCGAAGTCAGGAGCCTGTAATTCGGTGGATGTTGTTTGTTGCTGTATATCATATTTGTTTTTCGTTTATTGTTTTGTACATGAATAAGGCCGTTAGTTTTCTCGTTTGAATTGTTTTACTTTTGCCATTTCTAGGCCGTTTATTTCATTACTATGCGGTACTAGTATATGGGTTTTGCTCTGTGTTGAAGACCATACGAGACCTATAGTTGGTAATTTCTACGTATTTGGTCTCTGGTGGAGATTTGTCTCATTGGCAGTTATATTACATCTTATTTTTATATTTGGAACTGATCAAAACTGTACATGAATTTACTAGATTAATATCAATATAAGTATTTGACTAATTAAGTCAAATAAGACATTTTCTCGATATTTGTCCATTTTAAATCTTAACCAAGTGCTGGGTCCTGGCTATACATTTATAACGTTCTTGCGCTCTGTTATAACTAAGTGTTCATTTTATAAATGTGCTAGTTTACCTGTAGTTTTCCACATGATATTGTCAGTAATACAGTTTCCTGTCGTACAATTTCAAGGAAATGCCACCATCGACACATGAAAAAATTCGATTTAATTAAAAATGTCATAATAATTCTTGATCAATGTTGTTAGCATTTAAAACAGATTTATTAAGTTTTAAGTAGAAGGAACACATTTTTAAGCATGGATCATTTGCCGCGTTTCATAGTCTTACACAATGTATTGATAAAAGTTACAAGTAGCTTGTACATATATCTCACAGTGATGGATATCACATATCAAAAAAGGTTAATAAAATTTGAAGAAAAAAAAATGTGCCAGATATTATATTTAAACAATGAGCTAATGATGCTTTGTGGTTTCCCATAACAAAATTCTATATAGAAATTACAGTAGTCAAGGACAAAGCGATGGATTTTGAAAAAGATAATGGATAAGAATAATTATTAATACGAAAACATGATTATTAAATAATAAGTAATAATTAGATATATTAACCGTTCATCTCTCAACTGCTTCTTGAAATGCACGGATTAGAAAGAGCACGTGCAAATATTTAACGAAAGTTGTGCGTCGAAGGAAAATATCGCATAGAATGGTAAATGTCAGAGGAAAAAAATTATCATTAATTGTTTGTGTAAGAAACAATTGAATTACATTTTGTACCCACAGAGTTCATGTAATATCAAAAGAAAATTAAAGATGTGGCATGTGCTTTCTAAGATAGCAGTATACAAACACATAGTCATATTTCCACCCATTTCAGTATTCTTTCAAGATGAGCTCGAAACGAGAATTTTATTTGTGGTTTATGCTGACTTTTCTTGCTTTTATATCATGCGCTATATCTATACAAAATAAGACAGAGAAAACAATGGAACAACGTGTTATTGCTTTAGAATATTCTATGCGGGTTTTTGAAAGTAGGATTCAGACGCTGAACGATTCGACCTACACAGGTCTGTTGATTTTAGTGATGTTTTAGCAAAGAGTTCGTAATTTGTAGCACAAACTGGAATTTAGAACATTGTTATGCTTTTTCTTTGAATCTATCTTTTGTCAAGAACGTTGTATTCGACACGTTTTTTGAAAAAAACAAATTAAATGTCATATACAGTGAAGTTTATATTACTATTCATAAAAGATTTTAATAAGTTGTTATTTGCTTTGAACTAGGTATCAGAACTTCGAGTACTCTCAAATCGGTACTTTTTGTTAGTTGTGTTTTTGTAAGGTTTTGGTCGAACTGATGAGTCAAGCCTTTTTTCAACTGATTTTTGTTATTTATTCTTATGCTATCGCACTACTGTACCATGTTAGGGGAGGGTTGGGAACCTGCAAGCATGTTTAACCCCGCATCATTCTGTGTGTGCCTGTCCCAAAACAGAAGCCTGTAATTCAATGGTTGTTGTTTGTTGCTGTATATCATATTAGTTTTTCGTTTATTATTTTTGTACAGAAATAGGGCCGATAGTTTTCTTGATTGAATTGTTTAACATTTGTCATGTCGAAGCCTGTTTTTACTTGTTATGCGGTATAGATTCATCTCATTATTGAAGGCCTTACGATGACCTATATTTGCTTACATCTACGTTTAACTTATTTGGTTTCTGGAGGAAAATATTATCCCGCCGTGTGTCGCTTGTCATAGGAAAAGCAAAGAATGGGAGGAGCTTTGACCAGTGCTCGAACTTCCATCTCAAAAGTTTGTATTTCACTGTCTAGATCCGCCTCCTTGGCCTAGTAAACTATGAAATCAATGCCCATAAAATGTCCTTATAAATGTCAACAAAATGCATACACAACAATATAACAAAAACAAATCGAGAAAAAAAAGGGGGGGGGGGGCTTACCCTAACAAATTGTGATTGAAACAAATGAATGCTCGAGGAGAGCTACAAAAAGGAATAACGTGGTTTATAAACGAAGAGGCGATATTGATAAATTGGTGGATACTTGTTTTCATCGTGACAATATAAATATTCCAAAAAAATGTCACTGGAATTTTAGTCGTTTAATTCCTCCACTTAAGGAAAGAATAAAACAAAATGTAATAGAAATGACTATAAATTTTCCGGGCTACTGTTATTTTGGTTGAATACCTGTTTTTATCGTGTCGAAATTAATGAAAAAATATATGTCACTGGATGTTTAGTAATTTTCTTCATTCTATAAAGGCCTATCTCCGTGAATTGATCATGCTTCAAATATTTGTCCCTGGATCTTACACGCATTCAACATGCAACCATTGCAATCAACTAACCGATCTTTTTCCAGTTCTTGGGAATGGAAGAATAGTATTAATCACCTTCATAATTGGTATTATAAAATGTTTCCTTCTTATCACAACGATAAAACTCCTTTGAAACTACACGTTATTTTCGAGTTGGAGGGCAGATAAACATCGAATAAAATTTTGCATCATTATGGTAAAGAGGGCACAGTTAATCTTTAGAATTTTAAGATCAGGAGACACTAATAGAAAAAAAAATGACTGTAGATAGGATTATTGACTTCAGTAACGTAGAATTATAAGAAAAAAATAAAAATAAAACATTTTTATATTTTATTTGTCTTTGCAGGTTCTATTGAATCTAAACCGGTGATGTTCTATGCTACAACAAAAATCCAGTCGTTTAACTTAGAGAAGAGGTCAACAGTTGTATTCGGAAATGTTATAATGAATATCGGAGGTCATTATAATAACTTCAACGGCGTATTTGTATCGCCAACATCGGGAATTTATCTGTTCTCCTGGACTGCATGTACAAACGGCAATAACTATGCATTCACAGAGTTGGTTGTTCAAAACAATAGCATATCAAGGGCTGGAGAGTTTGAGAATACTGGTCACTATCACTGTGGATCAATGACTGCATTATTTAAGATAATGAAGACGATCATGCCTGGATACGAACTAATGATTATACTTCTGGCTCAAAAACGCACTATTTCTACACAAATATGGATGCCACCAGTAACACGTTTCTTGGAATATTAGTGTATGAAGATTAATGGGAGTCCTTGATAACAGCTCTCGTTACTAATCACATTGGAATCAGAAAACAACGGCACGTTTTTAATGAATATAGTATATATATCTAATTTGTTAACTCAAACGAATATAAAGTATTTATAAAATAAAATCAAACACTTGTTTCATAGGAATAGCTCGCCAACATGTGCAGCTTACTGTGATAATTTTATTAAAACAAAATTAAATTTGAGTTCCGATGTCATCATGATAACGGCAACACCGCTGCGTAGTACACGACAGCCTACAAAATAGAAAATCAAAATGAGAAATCATATATACATATATAGGTCTTAATGATCAACCAAACAATGTCATACTGGTAGTATAAATATCTATCTATCTATCATGCGTAAAACGTTTCAAAAATACAAGCATTCAATTACGGGGGGGGGGGGGGGGGGGGTCTTTACCTAAACTAAACTGCACTGTACTGAACGGTATACGAGCTTCGAATGACAATATATCTTAACTTACTTTAACAAGAAAACTGTTCGCGCTTTAAAAATCCCGTGCTATTTACATATCAAATATCATACTCAATATATTTACGCAATGCGACAAAATATTGACCAATCCGAAATATCATATATTTAAAAACACAAACCTGTTTATTCAATATAAACACCAATAGATGACCACTATGCGGACACACACTCACGTGTGATTGTTTACATTATAGAAAACACGTGTATGCTCAACTTTCATAAATACATTTATATTCTAATTCGTTAACTCAAACGAATACAAAGTATTTATAAAATAAAAACAAACACTTGTGTCAATATGTCCTTTGATTGAGTTAAGCTATTTCAGTTGATATTTTATAGTGTGTCTTTCTATGTTGTGATGTTACACTATTGTTTCAGAAAAAGGGTGAAGGTTTGGTACCATTAAAACGTTTAAACCCGCTGCATTTGTTTGCACCTGTCCTAAGTCAGGAATCTGATGTTCAGTAGTTGTCGTTTGTTGATGTGGTTCATAAGTGTTTCTCGTTTCTCGTTTTTTATATAGATTAGACCGTTGGTTTTCCCGTTTGAATGGTTTTACACTAGTAATTTTTTGGGGCCCTTTATAGCTTACTGTTCGGTGTGAGCCAAGGCTCCGTGTTGAAGACCGTACTGTGACCTATAATGGTTTACTTTTATAAATTTTGACTTGGATGGAGAGTTGTCTCATTGGCACTCATACCACATCTTCTTATATCTACTTGTTTCATAGGAATAGCTCGCCAGCATGTGCAGCTATTTTCGACAAAACAAAGAAAGGCGCAAACGTGTGTTTTTTAAATTCCTAAATTTTTAGTTACTGTCAGACGTTCACTGATGTTCTCTTTGACGTATCCGTCCTTAGCCCGATCTGATTTCCAGCGACCATGTTTTTTGAAGATGCGATCTTCCACATGCGCATTTGCAGCGGCAGTAGCACCTCCGGACCTCAAACTATGCAAACCAAAATACTTTTTGTCTAATCCAATAGATGCTAAAGTAGCTAACAAAATTTCTCTTGCAGTAGTATAAGAAAGCTTAACCATTTCTTAATTTGTAACCATTTACAGATTTACAAAAAGATAAAGGACGAAAAATCAAATCTTTACTGTCCGACTTGATGTTTGCTAAATTTAAATATTTCATTAACATTTTAACGGGACATGTAATTTTGTCAGTTTTTGAAATGAGCACATCACTACCCTCACGGTAAATATCAGTTTTATTAGTCTCTATCAGTAAAACGATGTACGAATTATGAAAACAATATTATTTCTTTTAAGATTTGCTAATTCTGAATACCTCAAAAATCCAGCAAAACTTATAAGGCACATAAGAGCTATTCTCACATCTTTAAGATTATATTTATCATTACCATATAGAATAACAATTTGATGCAAAATTTCTGGTGTAATAGGTTCTTTCTTAACCACAATGTGTCCAACAGATCTCAAAGATCCTTCTTTCACAGAAATAACCAAATCCGATTTACACGGATTCTCAACTCCGGCTATTCTATGAGCCCATCTTATAGCATAAAAAGCTTCATTTATGCTGCTAGTAGATTTACCAATATTTGTCAAATAAACTAAATATGATGCAACAGAAATATCTGAAGCGGGTAATGTGTTTGAAACATTAATAGATAAACACCATTTACAGAAAGCGTTGAAAACATATCTACAATGTCGTTGATCCGCTCTAGATGACAAACAAAAGGAAGGTACCTGGTCTACGAGGAGCTGCATGGATGGAGAATGTGACTGACGAAAAGAACCAATATCAATCCATCTCCCGGTTTTGAAGACATCTGAAAAATGTGTTACCCAATAAAGGAAAATTAAACAAGTATTCATATAATAAAATGCATATGACATAAAAACAATCGACTGTGCCTACTTCAATATCATACTACGACATATGATACTAGGACCATGTCGCTAAAAAACCTTCATCTTTTACATTCTCAACTGAGTAATATGTACAACATAAAATCTCATTCACCATGTCTCTGCAATACCAAAATTGATAGCAGGACCATGTGAAACATCACAGACTAGCGTCTAGTCTAACTGCGAGAATAGTCGATAAACATTTTTCAGTTCCAAAGATACACTTTGGACTACTTCCTTTTGAAGAGATTCTATTCGTTTCTTTAAATTCTAGCACATCCTTAACATAAGCTTTGTAAGTCAAATTTTTATTAAAAATATATGACCAAAATGGTGCAGATACCCATCGTGGGACAATCAAAGACCCTTTTGCTTTACAGTTAATCAGATGTTTAATTGTGCGTATAACTGAATAGATAGGGGGGAAAAGCCAATTATTTTCTCCGTGCCAATTTTGTGTAAAAGCATCTACAGCTTCTGTGGTCGGATTCCAGAAAAGTGAGTTGAACCTTTTTGTCTTGTTATTCATCACGCTAGCGAACCTGTCAATAGTAAAAGGTCCCCATAAACTTTCTAAAAATTAAAAAACTTCATTTGAAATTTGCCAATCCTCATGATCACTCATTTTGCTAAGGTAATCTGCCTTTGAATTCAATGTGCGAGGAACCAATTGTAATTCAATGAATATATTGTGTTCTTTACAAATACAAAATATAGAATAGGCAAGTTTTTGTAAATCTTCCTTCATGCTTCCAGCTTGTACTATACGTACACAGTTTTGGTTATCAGTAAACCGTTTTAAACTTTTGCCAATAAATAGAGTACTAAACGACAATAAGGCCTGTTCGATTGCTCTCATCTCTCTCCAGGTGGAGCTTTTACATCTTTCTAATTCGTTCCACATTTTGTGAAAAATCTTAATTTCTAATTCTATAGTATATGCCCCACAGGATACATTACTAGCATCTGAAAAAATTACTATCGAAGAAGGGCTGTACGTAGCCAAATTCTTTTTATTCAAAATAAGCACATTAGATTTCCAGAACTTAAGCTCATTCAAAATCTCAGCTGGATAAACTATTTGTAATAATCTATCCCAGCTCAATCTTTGCACGATGCACAAGTAACAATATCTTGTCATCAATCTAGTCAAATTTTCGAACACTGGTGATAAAGAAATAATCTTACCAGTCACTTGAGCTAATTGCCTAGCAGTGAACAGCAAAAATCTTTCTAAAATTTCATCTATAGACTGTAACAAACCATTTAATCTTCTTTCGGGAATTGAAATGCAAAATTGAATAGAATCCCAAGTGATTCCTAACCATTCTAATATTTGGGTAGGTTCAAAAACAGATTTTTCTATATTGACTAAAAAACCAGCATCTACTAGACTAAGTGACTTTTCACAAAATCGGAATCTTTCCGACATAATTCGTAATCTGAAGCCATTCCGAAACCATCGTCTAAATACAAGACAATATCAATTGAATTTTGTCTCCAATATTTGACCATAAAATCTCAAACATTTTGTTAACAAGTAAGGGCTAGAAGCCAGACCAAAAACTAAAACTGAAAAACAGTAATACTTGTTATTCCAGGAAAAACCAAGAAAAGTTTGTTGCTGTGGATCCGGACAAATGTCGTTATGATGATAACCAGATTTTAAATCAAACTTAAACAGATAAGGACCTTTTTTGAAAAATTGAATAGCTGTTTTCCAGTCTTCAAATTACTCTCTTTTTTGACAGATTTATTTAAAATTGAAAAATCCAATATTAACCTCTTTTTTCCCGATTTATTCGTGGCAACTGACAAAGGATTAACAATATAAGGCGTAAAGGGAACTACATATGCACGTCCAGAATCAACTAATTCCAAAACGGCTTTATCAACAAAGTCTGAGTTAGAAACAGCAGATTTATTGTTTTTCATGTGCATACTGGGGGGAGGCACTAAAAATGGGATTACATAACCGTTTTTAATTGTATCTAAAACAAAATCACTAGCTCCAATATTAACCCAAAAATCGTAATGCTTTGGAAGCCTGCCTAAGCCCTTTAACACCTTTAAAGTTATGACTAGCAGAAAAATCTAATTTTTCAAGAAAATGAACTTGTGACATAAATTCTTCAAGTTCGTCATTATTGCTTTCATAGCTAGAAGATAAAAAACTTAAATCTAGATACTTATCATTGACAGTAACTGGATCATTGAGGTTTGGGTGGCTGGTAACTGGGTGCAGAAGCTGTGGCTGACTTGAAGTCGAGTGGACAGTTTCTTCTTCAGTGACCATACTGCTTACAGTAGTGACAGATGTCCATGGAGCACGGCTTCCGCCGTGCGGTGCTGGTACGAAAGGGCTGTTGATAGCGACTGAAATCGTAAGCTGGAGGAGGAGCAGGGGCAGTAGCGATACGTTCAACTGCTGGAGTTGGTCTAGCTGAATACGGTTGAGGGCGGATCTTTTTCTCCTTGATAGTTTTAAGGGCCCTAGTCTCGGCCTGACGAATCTTTTTCTCGTCTTCATCATTTTCGGCGATATCATTACTCCCGTATTCTTTAAAGCAACCCATCCCCCAGTGGAGTTATCAACAATCCTGATGAGTTTATTTCTTTCTTTGAGTTTATCCACTAAATCACCGGTAATAGAAGGAAGGGGGAAGAAACAGATATAAGATCCTTGTGGATTTTGTTAAGACCATCCATAATACTCTCGTTAAAACGAAACTGAATCCGATTCCCTTCTGATTTAAACTAATATTTGCCTCATCTCTGTATTTCTTTGACAAATTGTCTTGTTCTGAAAGAAT